CAATACAAACTCTGGGGCCAGACTATCCGAGTTTGGAATCCTGGAATCACCGTGTCCCCTCTGCGGGACCTCTTTCGGTGGCTTGTTTCCCCGGTCGTCTGTAAGGGTAATGTCAACGCCTACCTTGCAGGCCGGTGGTGAGGACTGTGTGAACCAACATATGCCAGGGGCTCAGAACAGCTCCTCACAAAGGCAACACCAGGTGACAGAGAGCCCGTCTTATTCTGCATTTGTTAAGCGAGGTATTTACTTTTTTGAAATACTTCCCAATGCGTTTCCTCTTTTTGATTATTCAGGTTTCCCCTGGCAGTCTTTCTACCTTCGGGGCTGGGCCCCGGGCTGAAGGAGGGAAGTCAGGGGGGTGGTTTGAGGGAAATTCTTGCCGGGGACCGAGAAAAGGCAGAGGGCTTCTCTGGTCCTGGGTGGAGGAGGGGCCGATTCCTGGCTCCCCTAGAATTATCCAGGGAAGATGGTGCAAATGTGTCAGGGGCGTGAAGGGGAGCTGGAAGCAGAAGGGCCTTGTGCTGGACTCTGGCGGAACGTCTCTGCCCAGAGCCCCGTCCCCATGGTAGCCAGTGTGGAGCCGAAGTAGAGAAGAGGCGGGCTCGCTCAGCTGGCCCAGGGGGTGCCGATGTGACCTTGGAAGGAATGGAAGAGTAGCTACAGACTGCACGTCGGTGCGTGGGCCCTCTGGCTGCAGTCGTGGTAAAAGGGGAGGGACCCCTGCGCCACAGACTTCAGGGGAAACACACTAAACCAGAGGCTGGAAGGAAGATGCGGCCGAGTCTCAAAGAGCCAGGGTGGGGGCTCTGTCTGCAGGAAGCCGGCTGAGCCCGGGAGCAGCCCCTCCTCCTGGGATATTCAGGAGTCCTGGGGGCTCCCTGGAGCTAGAAAGCACGGGGTGCCTGCTCCCCAAGGTCACTTGGTCCCTCAAAAGGTAGGACTCCCGGGGGGCGGCTGGGTGGCTCAGTGAGTTGAGAGTCCCACTTGGGCTCGGGACGTGATCTCGGGGTTCGTGATCCGTGCCCCGCATCGGACGCGCTGATGTCGGCGCAGAGCCCGCTTCGGATCCTCTGCCCCCCTCCCGCTGGTGCCGTCTCGAAAAGGCAGGATTTCGGTGTGTCAAGCATCAGCTCAGGATCTTTCGCAAGGTCCTCAGGCCACGGTGTTGTGATCTCCTCCTGGAGGCTTTTAGGAGCAGGGAGTCGGCTCCCGCCACTAGGTGTCACCTGCCACCGCTGTCTCTCCGTCTCTGGAAACTGACATTTCTGTCCCCGCATAGCGCCACGGCTGCCTCTTCCACGCAAAGAACTCCCCTCCACTGCACTCTCCCTGTGGGCAATTCAGCTAATTCTCCTTATTAGTGTCAAACACAAAAGCCAACTACTTTGGGGGGCGGAGGGGGGGAGAGCTCCTTTTTCCTTAATAACAGCTTTACCGAGATCTAATCTACACGCCCTACAATTCATCTTTAAAAGTATATAATTCAATGTATTTTAGCATATTCACAGAGCTGTGTGACCGTCACCACCATCTAATTTTAAAGCATTTTCTGTCACCTCAGAAAGAAACCTTGTGCCCTGTGCCCACTGGCAGTCAGTTCTTGTTCCCGATTTCCCCCCACGACCACAGATCTTTCCATCCTTATGCATTTGCCTTCTCTGCACATTTCCTATAAATGGAACCACACGGGCTCATCTGTGACGGCTTTCTTTTACTTCGCATAATGTTTTCAAGGTTCATTTATGTTGTAGTATAGTTAGGACTCCATTCCTTTCTATTGCCAATGATATTCCATCGCACGGATGTAGCCTATTTCCTTCATGCGTTCATTAGTGCCTGCCCTCCTCTCGGGCCCTAGCTTCCATCTCCTCTGGGGTGGGAGGGGCTCTGTGTCTGTACCGAGAGCCCGGGCGGGGCAGGAGACTGGGCGCCTCCTTCCCTCCAGCCCGTCTTCATGTTCTCTGCTTCACCGTCCCTTCCTCCTCAGAGGCAACTGCTCTTGCCAGTCCCCGAGGCCGCCTGGGGCTCTGCGGGGTTTGTTCGTTTCTTTGCTTTTCCTGTGACCCGTTTTCGGATTAAACTGTCTGGTCTGGTCGGTCACCGCTCACTCGTCTGCCCTCCAGCCTCCAAAATTTTGTTGCCCACATCCTCCCTCTTCTTTCCCTCGTCTGCCTGGGCTTATTGCTCTGACTGTCCTTTTAGTGGGGCTTGGGGAGAAAATGGAGGTGTTCAAGCTAGTCTGTTAAGCAAAGACAAATCCCTGTATTTATCGCACGTTTCTGTGTCTGTCCCTCCCATCACACGCTGAACCTCTCGACTGCGTCCCAAATGCCTATCAACAGTTATGTTTCAGTCCCCTCTTTCCTGAATTAACGAAATAGATTATGAGCCTTTCATTTTCTTGACTGTGGTTCTCCGAATAAACAAATGGGATGACTAGGTTTGTGTCACAAAAGGAGAGAAAATTCAGTGCCTGTTTCTAGATCTGATGCTGAAGCGTCTGGTTCGTAACGGGCATGCTATTATACAATTGCTCTCTTTTTCATAACACCCCGGGAATGATGCATTCTGCTAACCCCAGACGGTCCACCATGTTAGGACCAAATAATTAAAATGGACTTAGAGAGCTCCTATGGCGAATCCCTTTCCCTCTGGCCGAAAGCATTATTAGTCCCCTGCAGTACAAGAAAAGAGGTTGGCTCATAGTATGGAGGTAGACATTTTAAAAAGTTGAGGGTTATCAGTTCTCCAACTCAATATTATACAAGGAATGATAAGATAAAGAAAGGAAAAATAGAATTATCTTCTAGGTCCTTCGACACTAATTGCCACCCATCCCTCTGGTGTCCTGAGGCCGCCCTTTGTGTTCTCCTGGTCAAGAGAAAGCCAAAAGCCACAGGATGGAGAGGAGGCTGTGATGTCAGCTGGAGGAGACCCTGGTGGGGGCGTGGGCCCAGCGGCTGGGGTCTCGCTCCTGACTCCTCGTACCCTTCCTCACACACAGAGCTTGAACCTGGGGCCACTTATTCCATTTCCTTGCTGAGCCGGGGTTCTTGGCTACCGTGATAGAGTACATAAGCATGTGATGTTTAATATAAAAGATATTAAAATGGTTTTTTAAAAAACCCTTTGGAAAGGCCTCTGAATGGCAAGTCCAGAGAAAGGAAAATTAAAGCTTTTTGTCATGGGAATGCATACACAAAAGCAGTAAAATAATTCCCCAGCGTATCCATTATCCAGCTTTAACCATTACCAATGGTTTACCGATGCTATAAAATCTGTTCTTGCCCCCTTCACCCCATTCGCCTTTTAAAAAGTATTTGCTGGAGTAGATGAAAGCCAATTGCAGACAGCATATCATTGTCCCCCATAAATACTTCTAGATGATCTCTAATTGTTAACGCTTTTCCTTTGTTTTCTTTCTCCTTTATATAAAACCACAAAGCCATTATTATCATAACCTAACAATTAACAATTCCCTAATACCATCTGATACTCTAGTCCATATTAAGATTCCCCCGATTATCTGAAAAATATCTTTTTACAGGAGACTTGTTTGAATCAAGAGCCAACTAAGGCCCCCTCACTGTATTCGGTTCATTCATCTCCTTTTTTAGCTCGGAATGAAAACTTTATTCTTAACGCACAGACAATTAGGTGCATTAAAAATGAAGGTGGGCTTGGGGCGCCTGGGTGGCTTAGTCGGTTAAGCGTCCGACTTTCGCTTNGTTCGAGCCTCCGACTTTCGCTTAGGTCATGATCTCACGGTTCGTGGGTTTGAGCCCTGCCGTCGGCTCTGGTGTGACCTCCCGCTTCGGAGCCTGGAGCCTGTTTCAGTCTGTGACTCCCTCTCTCTCTGACCCTCCCCTGCTCACGCTGTCTCTCTCTCTCCCCTAGAAGTAAATAAAACATTAAAAAAAAAAATGAAGGTGGGCTTACGAAAGGCTTCCCAAGTGTTAAGGGCTCTTGACGCTGCTTTTCATGGAGATATACTGGCCTCGTTTTTCCACCACTGACCTTAGACTTGAATAGCTAGTCATTTCAATATGACTGCATTCTGCCTTCTCTACTGGTGCAACGAAATAACTTTGGAGACAGCTGCTTATTAGATTTGTGTGTGTGTTTAAAAATTCTGTTACGCTAAATGGGGCGCCTGGGTGGCTTAGTCGGTTAAGCGTCCGACTTTCGCTTGGGTCATGATCTCGCGGTTCGTGGGTTCGAGCCCCGCGTCGGGCTCTGTGCTGACTGCCAGCTCGGAGCCTGGAGCCTATTTCAGAGTCTGTGTCTCCCTCTCTGTCTGACCCTCCCCTGCTCACGCTGTCTCTCTCTCTCTCTCTCTCCTAGAAATAAATAAAACATTTAAAAAAAAATAAAATCTCTTTAAAAAAAATGTTTAAAAAAAAATTCTGTTATGCTAAAAATCATAAATCCATACCGGGCATTGCAGTGATGGTGAAACTTGGTACATGGGAACTAAGTGTGGTAATAAATATATGCGTTAGGTGTTATGTTAGAAATGCTTTCAGGCAATTGATTTCAAGAGGTAGCAGTGGAGGCAGAGTAAGAATGTTCTTCGGGGGCGGGACCTCTCGGTCACTACAGATGGTGAGGAAACCCGACAGTCTGCCCACTGCTCTAGGTCTACGTGTTCTTCGCGTTCTCGAATCTCTCGTTAGCCCGCAGTCAGGCCTTAGACGCGCTTCTCCCATTTCAACTCATATTTATTGAGTGACAGCTACAGGCCGGACACATCATAACTGGATCTCATTTAAGTCTTAAAATAGCTTGTGGTCGTGGCAAATAGCTCCATTTTGCAGACGTGAAAACCCCAAGTTCAGAGCCTCGGTGAGCTGCTCCAGGCCACTGAATTCTGAAGGCCAGGCCTTTGCCCGGGGCTCACCTTGCTGTCCAGCTCATCCTTTGGTGGCTGGGTCAGTTAAGGGAGTTTAAAGTCAGTACCGGTGGAGGTGATAAAACATTAATAACTGGATCGGTACCTGCTCCGTGGAATCCTCCGCAGACGTAGAGCTTCCCATTCACTGCTCCTGCGCTGGTAGAATTGGTTCGGAGGGAGAGCAGGGGGCTTGGCATAGGTGGGCCATCTCTCCAGAAGTCCCCATCGGGGTTATAGATCTCCACCGCATCGAGGCACTTTCGAACCTGGCCTTTGTCTCGACCTACACAGCCAATCCCACCTACAGAGAATGGTACACAGAAATGAGGTGAGCAAGAACTGCGCCTTCATCGTGGGTAGCACCCCGTTCCTGCTACGGATTCTATCACACATCACAGGCCTCTGACGTGTGCTTGCCTAGTGCTCCTCAGATAATTTCTTTCCTTTCCTCTATTTTTTTAATGTTTATTTTTTTAGAGAAAGAGGGAGGGGCGGAGAGAGAGGGAGACACAGAATCAGAACCAGGCTCCAGGCTCTCTGAGCTGTCAGCACAGAGCCTGACACGGGGCTCGAACCCACGAACCATGAGATCATGTCTTGAGCCAAAGTCAGACACTTAACTGACTGAGCCACCCAGGCGCCCCATCTTTTTTTTTTAATTAATTTTTTTAATGTTTATTTTTGACGGAGAGACAGAGTGCGAGCAGGGGTGGGGCAGAGAGAGAGGGAGACACAGAATCCACAGCAGGCTCCAGGCTCTGAGGTGTCAGCGCAGAGCCTGACTTGGGGGGCTCGAACCCATGAGATCGTGACCTGGGCCGAAGTCTGATGCTCAACTGAACTGAGTCACCCAGGTGCCCCTCAGATAATTTCTAAGCAATAGTGATGTCTGCTCTGTACTCCATACCCAACTTGAATGCCACTTTTTATTCAGTGTTGTGTCTGTTTGTACGACGTAGGAGGCTGATGTCATTGCAGGCTTTGTGTTCTAGAGCATCCAACACTGGTTCCCACGATGAACGTCGCCCTTAGAACAAGAATTTCAGGTTTGAAGGTGACCGTAACTCCACCCTGACATCTGTCTTTCTGTTGATAGCAATGATTTCACTAGTCTGCTAGTAGGGATGCATCCTTTCCCTTCCTCATCATTGTAAGCCTGTCTCTTCCTCTTCTTTTTATTTTATTTTATTTTTTTATGTTTTATTTATTTCTGAGAGAGACAGACAGCGTGAGCAGGGGAGGGTCAGAGAGAGGGAGACACAGAATCCGAAACAGGCTCCAGACTCTGAGCTAGCTGTCAGCACAGAGCCTGATGCGGGGCTCGAACCCACGAACCATGAGATCATGACCTGAGCCGAAGTCGGATGCTTAACCGACTGAGCCACCCAGGTGCCCCTCTTCCTTTCTTCTTAAGTTTCATCAACTTTTCCCCATGAGGGAAGGGCCATTCCTTGATAAATTTCAAGTTTGAGGTTGAAGAAAGGCTCCAAACCCAAATGCCCAGTGCATCTTCCAGTTTTGGATGATATAGTTCATTTGGTAGCTATTCACTGGCTGCCTATTTTATCAAGGCAATGTGCTAAATGGTAAGAAGTTTAGGAAAATGAATAAGGCATGTTTCTTACTCTTAAGAAATTAATGAGGTCGAGGGGCACCTGGGTGGCTCAGCCAGTTAAGTATCTGACTTTGGCTCAGGTCATGATCTCGTGGTTTGTGGGTTCGAGCCCCATGTTGGGCTCTGTGCTGACAGCTCGGAGCCTGGAGCCTCCTTCAGATTCTGGGTCTCCCTCTCTCTCTGCCCCTCCCCTGCTCATGCTCTGTCTCTCTCTTAAAAAATAAAATAATTTTTTATTTTTAAAAAGAAATTTTTAAAAAGAAATTAATGAGGCAGGAAGGGTCATGCATGCAAATAAATCGGTAGACAACATCGTGACAGGTGACTTAGAAGAGATATAAATTAGACTCAGAAGCCCAGAGACGGTGACAACTAACTGAAACATCACTTATGTAAGCATGATTTTAAGCACAGCCCTTCACGGGAACGGTGATTGTATAAGAATCTCTGATCCGCTGTAGTAAGAAACACACGTTTGTAGGCAATCGTTTTTGTTCTCGCCTCCAAGGTCCCACAGTGAAAGGTCTTTGCCGTCCCGGCCATATTTCCTGACCTGAAGGACGGCTCCGGAGGCAGAGGTGAATTTCCTGGACGGACAGATGCTCCTCTCATGGGTGACCTCCTTCCATGCTGAGCCAATCTGACAGCCCAGCCCTGCATGGCCAACCTCCTTCCAGTTGAGAGGGTCCCAGAGGGGTTGAGGTGATGGGGGCGTGGCTAAACTAAAACCCTCGTACCATCAAAACCCTAAACTAAGCTGCTCTGATCTCCCGGCATTTACCGCAGGTACCGCTCATGGAGAATTTAATGAGATACCAGTTCATAGCATTTCTTCCTTCACTGCTATTTAACACCTCTTGCCCATCGTTGTGCTAGTCAGATGGTGTTTTCATCACCGCCTGTTTTTTCCCCAGTCTCTCTTCATACCTAGCAGTGTCTGACACATGTGTGCCTGAAATGAATGAATGAATGAATGAATGAGAAATTTAACTCTTCCCCTGCTTTCTCTGTCCAAGTGGATGTATTATAAGCTCCCTGAGGGCAAAGGTTACTCTTTGCACCTCTTCTCTCACAGTGTCTCACGCACGGTGCTCAATGAATTAATTCAAGATTGATGGGGACAGCTTGTTTCCACCCTGGATGGGACCCACGCCAGGCAGGAGAGGTGATGGCAGACGAGTCTGGAGGAAGGCTTTCCCCCTTCCCCCCCTCCCCCACTTTGCTGATGGAGCCTGGCCTGTTTCCTGTCTCAGTATGAATCCAGGGACGGAGACTATCAGCTCAGGAAGCTCCTAGTTGCTTTCCCTTGTATCCGACCAGATAACTAATTTAGCCCTTCCCAGTGCCAAGTCTGCGCCGCAGCGTTTCCCATGAGGGGGCCCTCCCAGTGTGGCACTGCGGTAGCTGGAGGTGTCTCGTCCAACAGCAAGTGGAATTTCCTACGTGCGGGCAAGCCGGCCTTCACCGAGAGGATTCATCCCCAGCAGCTGGAGCTGGCGACTGCTCACCAGGTAAGAGCCAGATGACGCAGTGAGCCGCCCCGCAAGGCCTGGGGTAGATAGTCAGGCTGGTTTACGTTACAAACACTCTGGAAAACCTATGAACAAGTGGAAGCAAACAGGTTAAGTGCGAGGCCCTGGGAGTCGGGCTGGGGGCACGCGGGGAACCCAGCATCCTGAACGTAACTCAGAGCTTTCAACGAGAGCCCGTTAGAAAGGCTCCCCCAACACAATGCGTGGGAAGGACGGGGAGCACCCGCTTGTGTTCTGGGAACAGTCAGGGCGCTTGCCATTTTTGTTGTTCTGGTACTAAGTGTACTTCCCATCCTGTTCGACCCTGAGTCTCCTCTTTGACATAGGTACTCTCTTTGTGTGGCTGGCAGATGGCGCATGCATGCCCTGCTCGCGGGCGCCGCGGCTCGCAGGGCGCGGTCTTCGCCCTGACCGTCGGCGCGTCAACGTGTCCTCCTTCCCACTTGGATGTTACCCCGCCATCAAGTGCACTTACAGCCGCACTTGGTAACAGTGGACTTAATGAGCTTAAACCGAAGGTGGATCCTGATTAGATAAATAATCAAATGAAAGTGTGATCTTTATTAATAAGTCAGCAGCAGCACCACACGAGAACCTTTCTGATGAGAGGAATCTAGGGTAGGATCAGCACATCTTGAGAATTTCAATGAGATCCTCCATGTCTTTAATTTATATGCTATCAGAGCCTCTTGGCCTGACTCTTCTTGAGTCAAAACAGGCAAATGAATAGAAATCACCTTTGTGAGTCATACACAAATCGACTTCAAGTGCAAACTATATACCTTAGGGTTTTTGGGGGGGAGGTGGGAGGGCGGAAGTTATAGATGAGGACAGTGCCTCCCTTTCCTCGTTATGGTTTCTTTTTTTTTTTCTTTATGTTTGTTTATTCTTAAGGGAGAAAGAGAGGCAGCATGAGCAGGGGAGGTGCAGAGAGACAGGGAGACACAATCTGAAGCAGGCTCCAGGCTCTGAGCTGTCAGCACAGAGCCCGACGCAGGGCTCGAACCCACGAGCCGGGAGATCATGACCTGAGCCGAAGTCGGCCGCTTAACTGGCTGAGCCCCCAGGCGCCCCTCCTCGTTATTGTTTCCATGAAGACCCGTTCTCCCTGGGTTTGGCTGCTATAGACGCCTTCCCTTCTGTGGGTGCGTGCACACAGTCCTGGCAGGGAGGTGGCTGAGGGCAGAGGGCAGTGGCGCCTCTCTGACTCCCTCCAAGGACTCCCTGTCTGTGCTCCCTGCCTGCAATAGCGCTGGCTCCCCGCGTCTGCCCTGCTGGGTAGCTTTCAGGGGTCAGGCTTCCTCTATTCTTCCCTGGGCTGGACTGAGAAGAGGAAGGGGATTGTGTAATGGCTCGGACGAGCTCCCAGGGTCACCTGCATTGCTAAAGACTCTTTAGAAAGCAGCTTTACTAAGTACCTTGAGCGCCGTAAGCTCCCTTGTGATGCAGGCGAAACACGTGGGCTTCTGGAAACACACCCACAGACATGCCTGTGTTGCCACTTATGCGCTGGGTGACTTGGGTCCATGTAAGTTCCCCAAGCCTCAGTTTTCCCATCCGTAAACTAAGGATAATAATACCAATTTCACAAGTTGGGGACAAAGATTAAGTAATCATATAACTCTGGAAAGGGGGCCGGGTAAGGAGGGAGTCGCATTGGCTGTGCGGCTAGCAGGTGGTGGGTACTCATTGGGCTGATATTGGGTCAGTAAGCCAGAGGCCCCCAAAGTGGCTGAAATCTCATGTTTGCTTATTCTCAAGTTAACTATTAGCTAGGTCTGTGGGTGACTGGACTGTGTGGTCAAATCGCTCTTAAAAGTCTCGTCTTCAGAAGGTCAAAGGGCTGCCAAGTAGGCTGAGCTGTCATGAGGAGAAAAGCTCTCCAAGGTTCAGAGGAACGCGCTGGGTCATGAACAGCAGACAGAGGGAGGGGCGGGTGGCTGGCATCCTAAACGCCAGAGGAAGGATTCGGCGGCCAGGCCAGCAGGAGTCCCAGAGCGAAGCCACCCACACATCTGAGCGGATGGGCTGCTTTCTGACCTGCATGTCGAGTCTATTCACTGCTGATATACCTCCCGCGACAATTTCGTCCCCACTGGGGTTGTCTGCTCTCTGGGGTTTCTTCTGCGCTCATTTCAGTGTTCCCGATTCGGC